GGCGTTGTGGCGGGCGCCTGTGATCCCAGCTACTTGGGAGGCAGAGGCAGGAGACTCACTTCAGCCCAGGAGTTGGAGGTTGCTGTGAGCTGTGATGCCATGGCACTGTACCCAGGGGGCCAGCTTGAGGCTCTGTCTCAAAAAGGAAAAATAAAAAGGGTCCCACCATGTGAGGATCCAATAAGAAGGTGCTGAACCAGGGAGTTCTATGAACCAGGACTCAGGTCTGGCATAGCACCTGCTGAGATGCAGACCTGTGAGAGCGTGTTTGTGGTTTGAGAACTGCTGTGTGGTGCTCTGCAGTACCAGCCCCAGCTGGGACACAGCCTTCAGCGGTGGTGGTGGATGTCAGATTCCCCTCTTTTCACTGATGAGCGACACTGCTGCCATCTGTCTTCTGAATGACCTGATGTTCATACTGGAATATGTCATCATGTACTTCCATGGTAACAGGCACTAGGCTGCATCCCTGTTCCCTCTGTCAGAAGCGCTATGGAGAACTCCATGGTGAGCACTGTGCTGATGTCTCACTTTGAGGGAAACACCAGCCTCCAGATGCCGGGGCCTCCAGCAGGGAGCACAGGAGCAGCAGCAATGGGGAGGCAGGCTCCTCTGTGGTCCCTACCTGCACCCCATGAGCCCCAGGGACTCAGCTGATACTGGCCACACACCAAAGCAGAGCCCTGCCTGAGTGGAGGGGCTGAGGCCTAACAGACCCCACAGTGAGGTGTGTTCACGTCCAGACAGCACTTGGGAGTCGCCATGTCACAACAAGGTCACCACACTGCAGGGAGACCACAGCAAACAACCTGGCCCATCCAGGAGCCAAGGTTTGGAACCCTCCCCCTGGGGAACCTACCTTGGCCCAGTGCACATGTCAGATGCCAATTACAGGTGTTTCTTCCACCTGGCCCTACGCCTCAGTGTGGTCTGGTCATCTACCAGGTGTCTTCAAACTACGGCCCATGGGCCACATGCAGCCTGCCTAGGACATTTATCTGGCCCTCCAGGTGTTTTTGCCACCGCTACCTGTCCTGCTTAGCAGCTGACTCATCCCAGGGCCTGTAGTCCGGCCCTCCAACGATCTGAGGAACAGTGAACTGCCCCCCTGTTTTAAAAGTTTGAGGACCCCTGATCTAGACTGTGGTCATGGCTCTGGACTGGGGTAGGCTGGGAATGTGTGAGCCCCCACCCCGGAGAACCCAGACTGAATGCCTATCTGCATTAAGATGAGGTGGCCTGGCTCGGCGCCTATAGCTCAACTGGCTAAGGCGCCAGCCACGTACACCTAAGGTGGCGGGTTCGAATCCCCAGCCCGGACCCACCAAACAACAATGACGGCTGCAACCAAAAAATAGCCGGGCGTTGTGGCGGGCGCCTGTGGTCCCAGCTACTTGGGAGGCGGAGGCAGGAGACTCGCTTGAGCCCAGGAGTTGGAGGTTGCTGTGAGCTGTAATGCCATGGCACTCTACCCAGGGGGATAGCTTGAGGCTCTGACTCAAAAAAAAAAAAAAGATGAGGTGGCCTTTTGTGCACCTCCAGCTCTGAGCACCTCAGGTTGCATTTAGACAGCAAAGCTGGCACATGTGCACCTTGGTCCTGCCTGCCAACTCTGCCCTCTACCACACTGTGGTCAGGAGTCCACTCAATTCAATTCATTCAAGTGAGAGAAGGGAACGGTGGCTTCTGTGAGCTCACTGGGCAGAGGGCAGAGAAGTTTCAGGAGGTGCCCTCTGGGCAAGCCTCAAGGTTGGGACTGACTCATGTTATTTACAGGAACCGGGGCAAAGGGCACCTGATTCAGGCCCACAGGGCTGAACAGGGGTCTCCCTTGGGATAGGGAACCAGGAAGGCTGATTTCCTTCACTTGGACAGAGGTAGAGATGCTCACTGCTAAAGCACAAGTGAAGCTCACGCCAGGTGACCAACCATCCACCCTCAAGAAAGGAGATCTTAAAACTGGGAAAATATATTCATTAGTTCAATTTTTCACATGTACTTGCATCAGCATCTGTTTGATTTTGAGCAATGGAACCCGAGTTCCATGAGGCCAGTTTTCAGAAGCCTGTTGGTGACTTGCTCTGCCTAGAAGCCAAGCTGGGACTTAGCACACAACTAGGGTCTGTGTCCACAGCTCTGGCCTGAGAGCTGGCAGGGAAGGCAGTCCACCCCTGGGCCTGGGCAAGTGGATCTTGTCTTCAAGCCTCACACTGGCCCAGGGCTTGGGGGAGCTCAGGGACAGTGACTTCAGAGAGACAGTCGGATGTTGACTGCCCAGTGGCTGGGGAACCCTAAGCCCCAGATTGAGACTTCCACTCACTCTCAGTTAACTTGAGCTCTGGCCTCCTTACTGTTTGGGGGGGGTTGGTTTGGTTTTGAAGTTGACAGTGTTGGTACTGTCTGTGTCTATAGGACTGGCTCTCCCTCATATCTTGTGCTAAGAGATGAAGCTCTGGGGCACAAGCAATGACCCTCCACCCGTGGCTGGAGTAGAGACTGCCCTGATGGCTCCATGCAGTGCCCCACCCGCCCCAGGCAGCTTGCTCTGCTGCCTGGGTGCTGGCCACGTGGCCCACTTGGCTTCCTGGTGGACCAGCGCCCAGGCAGAACAACTCAACCTGGAAACATCTGTGGCCTTGTCATCTTTCACGTACACACTGATTTCCAGAATTTTCCAAGAGCTGCCAAGCCTCAGAGCATTCACATCACTGCAGGGATAAAGGCTAAGGCAACAGCATTGGCCACACAGCCCAGTGTCTAGCAGAGAAATAATCAGATGCTGGACTCTGAGGAGGGGCCATCTCAGGACCTGGGAAGAGGTGGCAGCTGGATTTCAGCCATAAGTCAGAATACTTCCTCAAGGGCAGGGGCAGGGTTGGAGGTGAGAGAGGGGACAGTGGGCCCCTAGGCATCCTGGCACTTGTTCCTTGCTGGACATGCAAGGTGAACCCCACTCCCATCCATTGCCTCCTTTTTTTTTTTAGACAGAGCCTCAAGCTGTCACCCTGGGTAGAGTGCCATGGCTTCACTGCTCATAGCAACCTCCAACTCCTGGGCTCAAGCGAGTCTCCTGCCTCAGCCTCCCAAGTAGCTGGGGCTACAGGCGCCCGCCACAACGCCCGGCCATTTTTTGGTTGCAGCCGTCATTGTTGTTTGGCGGGCCTGGGCTGGGGATTCGAACCTGCCACCTTAGGTGTATGTGGCTGGCGCCTTAGCCGCTTGAGCCACAGGCGCTGAGCCATTTTTTTTTTTCATCCATTGCCTCCTACTGGGCATGTCCACAGCATTGGCTGAAGGCATAAATCTGGCTATCCAATACCCCAGCTCCCCCATTACCCCCGGCCCCCACCTCAGTCCCCTCCCAGGAAATATTGCCCTGGAAGTCAGAGGTAGCCTTTGGTCAGGAAGGGCTGTTCTCCAGGTCCCACTCATGACTAGTCAGACGTTTTACTGCAGCCAGCACCTAGAACTGACCCAAGGTTTCTTTTTTCTGGGAGTCCTGTGAGAGAGCTTAGTGTGGACACTGATGAGGGCACAGGTTCTCTGGCCACACTTAACTCCTTTCTCCCCATGGGGATTAGCTGGTCAGTGTTCAGTAAGTCCCTGTTCTACTCACACTTCTTTGGTGCTAAGCTCAAGGGAGGCTACTGGTTCCCCAAAACGTAGCAAACCCACCTTTGATGAATCCTCCAATGGGAAATCCACATGGAAAATAAAGCCTGGGAGGTGGACAGGGTCCTGGGCTGGGCAGAGGCCTGGGGCTGGGCAGAGGCCTGGGGCTGGGCAGGGGCCTGGGGCTGGACAGGGGCCTGGGGTTGGACAGGGGCCTGGGGATGGGCAGGGGCCTGGTACTGCACAGGCGCCTAGAGATGGGCAGGGGCCTGGGGATGGGCAGAGGCCTAGGGATGGACAGGGATCAGGGGCCTGAAGATGAACAGGGGCCTGAAGATGGATGGGGCCTGTGTCAGAAGCAGCCACCCACTCGTTCCTGAGTTGGCCTTGAGGACACAGGAGGTTGGGCACAAGGTCAGTGCCCAGTGTCTTTCTAATCCTCGGCTAGTGCCCTTGGTGGAGGCCCCATGTCCACCAGGAGGGCTCTGTGGTTAACCAAGTGTTCAGGCTCCTGAGACAACCTCAGCCCACTCTGCCCCTTGCCTCTTAGGAGGGATGTAGAATGGGGCACTACAAGGGTCAAAGGTAATGAGAGCTGAGGTGCACTGCTGGCCAGGGGGCTGGAGAACCTGTGTCCCCTGAGCCAGAGAGTGGCTGCAGCCCCAGGGACAAATGCCAGGGTTCCCACGGGCCACTGCAACTGGGGCTACAACCCAGCAGGTGGATTCCAGTCTTGCCTTCTGAGGGTGTCACACCTCACATAGCAGTGTCGCCTGGACACCTGAGAGCTAAGAAAGGCAACCCAAGGTGAGTGCTGTCCAAGGGCCTGGGTACTCCCAGCTGATTGAGGTGAGTGTTTGGGGAGTTTGTAGGCCTGCTCTGCTTTCCCTCTCCCCAACTTCCTTTTTTGGTGAGAGAGCTCCCCCCACTCCCTACCCCATGGGCTCTGTCAGGTCTCAGGCCATAGGGGCTGAGCTGGCGGTCACTTCCCTCTGTGTCCTTGCACACCCCCAAGCCCCCCAGCTCACTCGGCCTCACACTCACTGGGCCCTTTGGGAGGTGGAGGAAAGGCCCCCAGGGGCCCTGGCCACAGATGCCACTGGGCCTGCCCAGGGAAGTGGCTCTGGAACCCAGAGATCCATGGGGCCCCTGCCTGGGACAGAGTAGAGTGGCTGCATCTTAGCCCTGGGTGAAATGACTCAGCATTGAGGCCTGATGCAGGTCCTCAAACAGGGAATCTCGGCATGTCCCAAAACAGTTGGACACGTGCTGGGGGTTGCAAGGAGTTGAGGAACACAAGAAGACACTCGGGCAAACCCAGGTCCTGCATCAGATCCAGGCAGCCTCTCTGTCACTCCATTCTGTCTTGGCCACCAGAGCTGGTAAAGGTGTGTGGCTCAGCCCAGAAGTTTGGCACCAGATGCTGCTTCTCACCACAGGGGCAAGGTGGCCATGAAGAAGCCCTAGGCATACCTGCACATATCCAGTGTGTGCACAGTATGGTGCCACCTGGAGCAGCCTGGACCTGTGCTGTGGTTGGACCTGCCAAGCGAGGTAGTGCAGGGAGACTGGCACCCACTAGAGCTGGAGGGCTGCCCAGGAAATAAGGAGAATGGAAAGTCTACATGCTGTGCCCAAGTCCTGCCCCACTCACCTGTGCACCTGAGCAGATGGGCAACCAAGCACCTGAGCACCTGTCCACCTGAGCACATGGCCACTTTTCCACCCAAGCACATGGCCAACTGAATACCTGAGCACTTGGGCACATGGCCACCTGGGCACCTGTCCACCCCAGCATGTGACCATCTGAACACCTGGGCACCTGTCCACCTAAGCACATGACTACTTATACACCTGAGTACTTAGGCATGCGAGCAGCCATCAACTCAGCCACCTCCCTCTTCCTGCTCTCTCAGTCCCCTTTTTTCGGGAATCCGAAGAAGGCTGTTCTGCTGTTTACACTAGTTCCAGTGGCACTCTTGGGTCCAACTCCTAACAGCTTCCTCACCTCTCACAACATACAAGCCAAGGGCCTGAGAGAGCACAACATTCTGGGAGCTGAGGCCCAGCTGGGCCTTGTGCAGCCTTGGAGCTCCCTTTTCTATACAGACCAGGCTGGGCCCCAGGGCACTGGTATTAGAAGCACCCTGGCCTTCTGCTGCTATTGACAGGTGTTTATTTTTCTGGGCAGAGGTCAGAGTCCTGACAGCCTGGGCCCCAGGACAGGGCTAGGAGGGCAATCAGGGCCCTCCAGGCCCCTCTGCAGGGTGGTAGATGTGGTCTCGGTCCTCCTCTGGTCCCCGGAGCACCTGGTGAGATGGCAGTGCCCTCAGCCAAGGCCTGGTCCCTCCCTGGTCCTCAGTCAGTGAGTGATACAAGCTGTCATGATCTGGCTCAGGATCCTGCAGGGGACTCCGGACATGGCCCAGGATGTCCTCAGGCTCCACCCAGGCCTTGGTGCCTAGCAACAAGCAGAAAAAGGTGTAGCCTCAGTTTCCCTCCAAAGACCCTCTCCTCCACACCCTCCCAAGGGCCCATCTGTTCAAGTCACCCGTAGGGGACTGAAGGATAGCCTGCCCTGACCTGGCAGCTTCTTCTCGACAGCCAAGACCTTCAGCTTCAGTATAGGCAGCAGTCCCTTCTCTGGAAGTGCCAGCACACGGGTGCCCCAGGCCCTGCCAACACAGCAGGGTCAGTGTGCCGCACATATGGGGCAGGTGGACATAACTGGCTGCCCTAGGAGGGCACCCACCGCCCCAGGCACAGCAGGAAGTACCTTGCCCCTCCACCAGCAGCCCCAGGACAAGCCCAGGCCCCTCTCAAGAGCTACATCTAGCCAGGCATCCCCCACATCCCTGAGCCACATGGCCAGGGTGGACCCTGCACTGAAGAGTCGCTTGAGCATGAGGGATGAAAGGAAAATCCCAGGTCCAGGACTGAGGCCACCCTAGAGGCCCCCCATGTGCTGCTGGGTCCTTGTCAGGACCGAGCCGCCTCCTCCCAGAGCCGCTGACAGGTCCCACTCTCCATCCCAGTGCAGCCCACCCTCAGGAAGGGCACTAGGGGAGGGAGCACAGCCCAGGGGACAGAGAAGGGGACCTTGGGGACTTACTTCTCTGTGTCCTGCTCAGGGGCCCTGAGTCTGACTTGGAACTTGACAGGGACCTAAGAGAGAGTCACAGGTGTGGCCCAGACACAGACCTGGGTGAAGGTGTAGGGCACCTGGGCTGTGGACTGTAGACAGGGCAGAGCCACTTGAGATGTCAGGACTGCTGGCCAGGACATGAGGCTGCCAGTCTGTCCCAAATGGCCCAGCTGTATGTCTCCCTAGACATACAGCTGGGCCCACCTCCCCCACCTGGGGTCACCTGGTACCACTGAAGCCAACCTCCCCCTTCATCCTGAGGCCCCACCTTGTACCCTGAGGACCCTTGGTGCACAGGCAGGCATAGCTAAGGATGACCCCACTTTATCTCTCCTAGACCCACGTGGGGGTTGGAAGGGATAGGGCCCTTGTTCGGTGTTCCCTGCTGGCCAGGGCAGAGGGTAACCTCTGGGAGTGGGGACTAGGTAGGAGGAGCCACACATACCTGGGGTGCTGGGGCCATGCTTGCCTCCTGCAGCAGCATAGCCACCAGGCTGGTGATCAGGAAGAGCCTAGGGGGCAGGGTGAGTGTGAGCCCGAAAGGAGGGAATAGGGGTTAAAGGAAGGGATAGGGAGGATAAGAGGGGGCTGTGTGCACATGTAGGGTATATGTGTGCTGTGTGCATGTGTGTGTTGTGTGGGATGTGTGCACACATGTACTATGTAAATGTGTGCTCTGTGCACGTGTGTGTGTGGTGTGTGCACATGGGTGCTCTGGGCCCTGCTGGGGAGGTTTCTCTCTGTAGCCTGCAGCTCCCAAAGGAGAAGAGAAAGAGGAGGGGATCCCAGAAAAGACCTTTGCTCCTTCTGTGGGTGACTCAGCCCTCAGGGTAGGGGTGTCCTTGCACGCAGGGAAGTCAGAAGGCAGGGTGGGTAGGTCCAGCAGCCTGGCCTCTCCCAGGCAGAGGCTGGTTGTGACGCTGGTCAGGAGGTTGAGGCAGGCCTCTGGAGCCCACCCCCACTGCCACGCTTCCCTAGGCCACCCTGAGAGATTGTCCCTGAGACACATAGCCTGGGGTGGACAGAGGTGCCTGAGGTCCCTCTACTGACAGACAGCTGTGGATATTAAAGTGTCCCCAAGGCCCCCAAGTACCCAGAGCCCACCTTTCCACAGAGATGGTTTCTGCTTCAAGTTGGGGTCCCAAGGAGAACCCCCAGGAAGGAAGCGGTGAAGGGCCCTGCTTTAGAGGAGAGGGAAGAGGAAAGGGGACTCTACAAGAGAGGAGAGGGTGAAGGGAAGCTGGGGGGAGGAGGCCCGCAGAGGAGAAGGGAGTGAAAAGGAGGCCCCAGAGAAGAGAGGAGGGGGACCCCACAGGAGGGCAATAGCCTCTGATCCCAGTGTCCAGCCAGAGCCCAAGTGTATCCAGGGTGACACCCCTAGGTCCCCTGGCTCCTCCCCCCAGCCCCTGCCAGCACCCAGCCACCTCATATCTTCTCTGTTCCCCTTTCTTTTGAGTGTTGCAGACTAACCGGCCTTGGGTCTGGTGCCTCTTCTCCTTTCCCCAAGGGTCCCTGGTAGATTCTCCACTGGGTCAGGAACCCAAGGGGACAAGGCATGTACAGGTGCACACACACATGGGGCCACAGGGGCTGCCCTTACAGGCAGAGTGCAGAGGCAGACCCCAGATAATCAGGGCCCCTCCCTCCTAGATGCTGTCCTGACCAGGCTTGGTAGGGACCCCTCCAGGTTTATGGGGTGGGTTTGGGGCTCAGGGTGTTACCTCCTCATGTCTGGGGTCCCGTCCAGTGCAGAAGGTGTGCTGGGGGAGCTGCAGCTGCTGAGCAGTACCCAGGCACCAGGCCCATCCTCCCAGGCCTCTGGGGTTATATTGCCCCACAAGGGCGTGTCTGGACAGAGGTCGGCCAGAATCCTACACTGCACTTCCAAGCCACGGTGTCCACAGCCACCCAGCCCACTCCAGCCTGGGAGGCAGAACCCTGCTGCCTCCCTTGGGGGTTCACTGTGGAAGAAAAGAGACTTTGGATTAGAGGAACATGGGGTGGAGAGGCACTGGGCCAGGGAGCCTCAGGTCCCCTGAGCTGAGCTCCCCTGTAAGGCGACATTCCTTGTGGGTTCTGGACAGACTGGCACCAGGTAGACAAGAACCTACTCAACAGAGCCACAGGCTGTACACCACAGTGCACAGAGGTCACTAATCAGTGTCACCTCCATGAGCAAGGAGAGTCCTTTTGCCTTTAAAACCTGCTGTGACAAAGGCCAGGGGAGCCCTCCCAACAGTAACTTGGAAAGAGCTGTCCTCTCTTTGGCTCAAGCAAACTCTTTAAAATTCTATTCTTTGCCTCAGCTTTTTTCTTTAGGTAGACACAACAAACCTCCAGATACCACTTAGTCCCAGCCCCACCTGCCTGCCATACCACCACCAGGTCAGGCCATCCACCACCCACTTCAGCACCAGTCTTGACTCGCCCCACACAGGATCCCTTCCCTCCTACCCACTTCACCATCCATCCTACTAATCTTCTACCACTGCCACCAGCCATATCTAACTGAGCACAGCTAGCAAGGAACTGTTGGCAGCCCAAGGCCCCCCCCCAACCAGTGCCCTGCTGCCAACCGCCCTTCCCCCACCCTCCTGCTGCTGGGGACTTGGAGCAGAGTGTGCACAGAGACACACATGAAGGGTGCCTTCGGAGAAGCACAGTGAGGATCTAAGGCCCAGAGCAATTGAGGAGACTTGGACAAGCTACTGAGCCCAGGCAGAGCACAGGACTCCTGTGGCCTTCTGGCTCAGCAGCCCCACACCACCCAGAGCAGTGGGGAGTGGCTCCACTGAGGAGGCTGTAGGAAGGCTGGTGGCTCAGGAAACTGAGCCCCTTGATGGGTCATGCAATGACCAGAAGGCCAGTGGAACTGCAACAGGGACACCACAGGTGAGGATGCCATGGTGCCTACCAGCCCCCAGACACCACAGAGGAGCCAGGAGATGCTCTGGGGAAGTGAAGGCACCTCAAGAATTGCCTGACATCTAGTGTGCTCCCCACCCTCGCAGGCCCATCAGAGATGTGAGCAAGGAGAAGACCAGTCAGCACACCCGCACGCTGCAGATTTAGTTCAGGAAAACTACTAGAAAAACAACAGAAACAGCAACAGCCACCCTCAGGTGGAGGAAATATCAAAATTCAAAGTATCTCTAATAGGTCTTAATAGAAGACATATTCAGGTATATAATATCTTTAACTTACATTAAAAAGCTAGATCAATAGAAACTATCCAATATGAAGAAAAGAGAAAAATGAAAAATGAGCAGCACTTGAGAGACCTGTGGGACCGTATCAAGTGGTAAGTGCACATGAACACACATGGAGTCCCATGTGTGCACGCACACACAGAGATATGCACATGTGGAGTCGTCTGTACGCACACACAGACACACATGTGAAGCCATGCATATGCAGGTGCACACACACAGAGTCACCTGTGTGTACATATTTATGCAATCTTTTTTTTTTTTTTTTTTTTTG